GCCGGTGCCTCGTCGCGGGCGCCGGGAGCAGGGCGCTGCCCACCGGCGGGCGCGGAGCCCTTCCCCGCAGGGAGCGCAGGGGGACTTGGTGGCCCGGACGCCTGACAGCTGCCCGTCGGTGGAGCAGCGTCCGAAAGGCTGATGCGCTTCTACCCGAGTTGGGAACCGGCACACTCCCTTCTTCCCCCTCACAGTAAAAAAGTCAGTGCAAATCAGGAAAAACCGGCGCGCGTTAACCCGTGCAGTTTCTCTCAAAAGTAATGTGGCAGGAAGACAAACCAATAGAGCAGTTGGACGGAAGAATTTTGTTGACATTCGGGAATATTTGGGATTTCGCGGGGAAGCAGAGCAGTATGGGTGCTTTCGCCGTGGGACGGCAGCTGCAGCCTCGCCAGGTGCCCGATGGCCTTGACCCTCCTTTCTGGGTGTCCCGGGCCTGCGGGAATTTGCCTCTGATGCCTCCTCCGCACTCGGCTCTCCAGGGGCTCGGGCGTCCCCTCCGCCCGCGTTTCCCGACCCGGAGATGAGCACAGGGAACAAGTGACCCGAGAGAACTTGCTCTTTTTAAAATAAGATTTACCAATCATTGGTGACTTCTCCTAGAAATAGATTAAGAATTAGCACTCAAATCTACTTCCAGACTTTGTCTTGACTGTAGTACTTGTAGCTGAACTAAAGTGATCGCGGACACGTGAGTTGTTTTTTGGACAAGGCCGTTTTTCTTCTAGGGTGTATAAGGCTACGTGCACGCTGACAGCGTGGGTCTCTTATCGAATTTCTCATATTGTGAGGAATTAAAACACATCCTTCTTCTGAAATTGATTACAAAACGTTTTTTTGAATTTAGAAAGAGGTCTTCTAAAAATTTCTGTGGGCTGATTTTTATCTCATCAGTTCTTTGACTTTCCCAAGAAGTATTCTGGGCTCGTTTTCTTACAAATAGGGAAACCTAAGTTACCAAGAGGCTGTGTGTCTGTGTTGCTAGGTCTGTCTCTTCTTATGTATTTAATTTTGTAGCCTGTGTCAGAGGCCAAGCCAGAAGTTCCCTCAGTACAAGTTATGTTTGTCTCTTGGAGTTAACTACTCGACTTGGCTTGGAAACCTGGACTGCCATGCCCTGTTGTACAGGATCGAGTAGAATGACTTCATAAGCTTTAGAACTCTCCAGAAATGTGTAAGCCTGACCTTTAGTCTTTCAAGGAGTAGAGTGTCATGCTCTGGTTCCTAAGTGATCAATCAAAGGCATGGTCACAGAACGAGAAACAGAGCTCTTCACTTCTTAACAAGCCTCAATAGTGGAGACAGATTTCAGAAACAAATAAATGGAATTATTTACCTAATGCCCATGCTGCGTATTATGAAACATTTTTCTGAGTGTTGAATCCAGAGTGAAGTGTACTACAAATCAAAAGTTAAAAGAATTTGTACTTGCACTCCACAGGTTAAACACGTGTAGGTAAGAAGCCAAAAGAAAATATTTTATCAATTGGGACTCTTAACAATTGGGCCTTCATAAGGATTATTTGAAACAAAATCTTAAAAATTGAGAATTTGGGGGCAAAGCCTTTTTAGTCAAGTGAAAGTTATTAGAAAATGAGCAAGACAGAGTGCAGCTATTTTAGGAAAATCTAGATTATCCTTAACTTGTTTGATAAAAGCAGACAATAGGTTGAAAGCCATTGTGGCATTTTGTCTTGTATCAATGAAAATCTCTTTTTGGAAACAACTGCTTGTGGCTGGTGACATTTTTCATCTGTATAGTGTTGTTTTAAATACGATGCACAGTGTGGTAATTGCTGAGAGGAGAACCTGCAACATGAGTGCTTCCGCCCATTCCTGTCTGACTTTCCTCCCACCCCTCAGGTGTCCTGTGTGTGGCAGGGCATGTTGTGTCTTGCCCCCTGACTGAAGCAGGAGCCTCTGCAGTTGGCCACATGTGATAGCTCACCCTCAGAAGGGCTTTGATCAGCGTCAAGATCAAGTGCCGTAAAGTGGAGCTCTTCGTCCAGTAATCTTCCAGGCCTGCCAACTATTCAGCCGCAAAACAATTTTTTAAAATCTTGCCAACTTTTATCACGTGTTAGACACCTTTATTTCTTTTATTTTAATCTTTTTATTAAAAGTAAATAACAAATTAGAATATTTCTTACAATTCTTTTAAATCAGTCTAATGTCTGTATATAGATCCTGGAATACTGTGAGACCTTTTTTACTTTTTTTAAATTAATTTATTTTTTTGGTGAGGAAGATTAGCCGTGAGCTAACATCTGATGCTTCTTTTTGCTGAGGAAGACTGGCCCTGGGCTAACATCCGTGCCCATCTTCCTCTACTTTATATGGAATGCCGCCACAGCATGGCTTGACAAGCAGCACGTCGGTGCATGCCCGGGATCCGAACTGGTGAACCCCAGGCCGCTGCAGCGGAGCACGCGCACTTAACCGCTGTGCCGTTGGCCCGGCCCCTGTGAGACCTTTTTTAAAGAACCCAGTCATTCATGATTCATGATAGGATTTTCTTCTGTTTTTTTTTTTTTGTAAATCTGAAGAGAAAAATGTTAGTGTTGCAAATACACTCTTAATAAGTAATGGTTACAAATTGGAGTTGTGTTTTTCTGAGTGAAGCGATAAGAGTGAGAATCAGGGCAGTACTCTCAGGAAGACCTCCCATATGTTGATGAATCTCATACTTCTGCTTCATCTTCTAGAAATTTTGGTTGGTTATCGCAAGGGGAGGGTTGAGGTTTGGCTTTAAGTTTCAGTGACCGAGATGTTGAAAGACTACAGATGTTAGTCTCAATAATAGATCAGGGGCCGGCCCCGTGGCTTAGCGGTTAAGTGTGCGAGCTCCGCTGCTGGCGGCCCAGGTTCGGATCCCGGGTGCGCACCGACCCACCGCTTCTCCGGCCATGCTGAGGCCGCGTCCCACATACAGCAACTAGAAGGATGTGCAGCTATGACATACAACTATCTACTGGGGCTTTGGGGGAAAAATAAATAAATAAAATTATAGATAGATCAGAACCTTACTAGTCTGTGCAGTAGCTGTCTCATCTCATTTAACAGATAATTCGTGTTCAGTCTCCGGATGGGGTGAAGCGGATCACAGCAACGAAGAGGGAAACGGCTGCAACATTTTTGAAAAAGGTACCTGTGGCCTGGGTATTTACCTTTCAGGATCTTCTTCATCCTCCACTGTTATTCCCTTCCCATTCTGTACCTTTTCTCTTTTCCTCATTTCCTGATTCCGCCCACTCCCAAGTTCAGTCTCTTGCATTGCATAATAGAGAAAATCCATCATGATTGGTTGGATTGATACAGCATCAGGTTATGTCACGGCTGACTGCTTACAATTGTAGGACCAAAGGCTCAAAGGTAAGTAAAAGTATTTCATAGGAGTAATATTTATGGCAGTGAAAAACTTGAATTGTCCATCAAAGAGGAATTGTTAAAAACATGTATAGAAATATCCCACTTTGTTCTTAAAAAATTAACACCATATAACACACATCTGTTTTGTGAGCACAGAATGTGATGTGAAAGAGCACAAGCCAGACTTAAAAGGGGTAACTTTGGGAGGAGAGGCCTGCAGTAAGGCGAGTGGCTTTTGCTTTATACTTCATACCAGAGACCAGCAAACTATGGCTCAAGGACTGGCTGCTTATTTTTGTAAATAAAGTTTTATTGAAATACAGCCACACTCATTAGTTTATGTTTAAACCATTGGTTTATTGTGTGGCTGCTTTTGAGCTCCAATGGCAGGGATGGGTAGTTGGAACAGGGACCGTATGGCCTGCAAAGCCAAAAATATTTACTGCCTGGCCCTTTGCAGAAAAAGTTTACCAACATCTACTTTATACATTTTATGTTATTTGAATTTGTTGCAAGCAGGTGTTACTTTTGTAATGATAAAAAATATTGTTTGTCATTTTTCCTAAGCAAAAGAAATCATAGGATCATAGACTGTTAGAGCCAGAGGGAATTTTAGGTGTCATATAGTCCAATTTTTTTATTTTCACAAAGGTGGAAATTGAAGGCCAAGGGAGTCAAGAGATTTGCTGAGGATCACACTGGGCCTGGGAGCTGTTAGTGTAGCCACAACTCTTATTTGGGAAATTTGGTTTCTTTTTTTTTTTTTTAAAGATTTTTATTTATTTATTTATTTATTTATTTATTTTTTTTTAAGATTTTATTTATTCAGTTTTTTCCCCCCAAAGCCCCAGTAGAT